ATTCACCCAATGACATCTAATGCTCCTACCGGGTCGGATTCAGTCAGGTTTGGAGAATATATCTGACTCGACCCGGCAAAAATAGAAATGATCCAATTTTAACCTGACCCGAGTATATTTAATTCGAATAACCCGGGTTAAACCCGAAATTTTAGTAATTTTCATTGCTGTATGCTTAGTAATATATCAAAAATATTTTTTCAAACGTAATTTTTTCAATAACGCAAGGTAATTGATCTAAAAGATGATCATATAGGTCACACAACTTTTTATTATTAAAACTAAAGCTAAGCACGAATTTAAAGATATCTTCAATTCCTGTTTATTTATTGCTTTATATTTGAACTATAAAATCGAAATTGTATCACTTGCTTTAACAGAAATTTGACTATATTTTATGTCTGCATGCTCTAATTGTATCTGCTTTAAGACTACATCTTTTTGCAGCTATCAAATCGGTTCCACCGGCAAATACTTTTTCTACTGGAATGCTGGTTGCTTTATTAATTATCAAAATCAACTTATTAGCTAATGTAATATTAATAATTAATAATAACAATTCATATACATATCTGTAATTGCAAGGTGTCTCTAGCAATTTTTGCTATACTACCTCATTCATCTAACAAATTATATAAAATTAATCAATATTAACGTGTACTAATCAATATGTGATTAGTGATTTTAATGATCATTCGGGTCTAATTCGAGTCAAAACCTGAGTCAAGGAAATGAATAACCTGACCCGACGGGTCAGGTCATGCGGGTCATAGGTTATTAAAATTGTTAGTACCAACCCGATTTAAAATTCACTTAGGTTGAATTATCCAGGTTAGACCTGAATTTTGCGGAGCACTAATGACATCAACGTGGGAACCTATAATTGAATTAAAGAAAAAAGCTGCATGAAGTTAGTATCTTGTCGTACATGTATCAGAGGCACTTCATTTTTCTATTCTAAGGATTTTGCTTGAAATATAGGAGAGGAGATTCAGTATTAATTTCAATAAAGACCTCGTATCGTCATTCATTTTCGTGTGCTGCTTGGATTTATCATGGGATTTATTCGAAGAGGTAGATCCCTTAGGTTCTGCCTTCTTCCCTTTAAGGGATTTCAAGTTTTTCTTTTTGTCCTTATTGGACTTGGTACGTTTAGTATGGGGAGGATGTAATTCGGTCATTTTCCAAGTCTGTGGAACTTCCATGGCTGCATGTAGGTCTTTCTGAGACTCAAAATACATAATCACTTTTCTTTGTCCTTTATCCATAATGTGAGTACAAGATTTTGCTTTAAGTTTCTTTAGCACAGCTTTGCAAGTATTTAGACCAAGATAACCCTGCACGAAGTCACCAAAAGTTTGCCCTTTGTAGTAATTTTTAAAATCGCATTCAGGGGTATCTGATGGGATAGTTATTTTAGCTTGGAAGCATTCATGTTCTTTACGTCTTTAAGTTTCCAATGTTCCAGATACCAACGCATGCTCACATCATCTAATTTTTGCCACCAAATTCTCATAACAAAATTGGTGTCGATGAGTGGGCGGAGTATTATTTTAGTCCAAACAGATTGGTACTTATGCCATGGCTTGAAAGAAATTTTTAGCCCCATGATGAGAGTTTATTCAGGATTACATCGTGTGACCAGGCCATTGGTATATCGTATATCATGATAGTTCGCACTTGACCTTGTCGTGAATCATGTACAATGTTATTGTTGAGTGTTAATCTTGTGACCTTACTCTTTTTATTTTTCTCTTCCAATTGTGTTATGTCATTCGGAGAAGCAGTACCAATAGAAGTAGTTGTAGATGATGTGCTTTGTATAGATCTGAGATTACCTTCCTGATTTGGTTGAGAAGCGGCGATATTCGGTTGTTGCCGCAGTATATTTTTATTTTAAAAAAACTTTTCAAAATTAAGCATTATGTGATCGTAAGAAAAATTCAGATGAATTTTTCTTAATTTACAATTATAAGTTGCCACAGAAGCTTATATAGTATATAAAAAATAATTAACAATTTACCAAGATACAACTATGTGATAAATGCTAATAATTTACCATAAAAATACATTTTTTTAAATACTAAGCTAATTTGAATTTTTATATTTTATCCATACTTTTAAACACATAACTTTTCAAATTGTTTCTGGATCTAAGCTGCATCATCTTTGTGTAATGAGATCTGTGCCATTGGAAAATACTTATTCAACTGGAACACTTGTACCTATTTAAAATAGCAAATTAATAATTATATTGTAAATTATTATTAAATAATTAAAGTTAAAATATACCAGGAATTGCTAAAAAATCTCTAGCTACTTTTGACAAATTTGAAAATTTATTTTCATGAATCTATAAAAAAATTAAAAATTTAATATTTGATATAAACTTCCAAATAACTGATATAATAAATAATATCATGTATTTGTTATTTACCTTCCAAAATGCTAAAATATCCATGTCAAAATTTGCCAGTGGTTTATTAAGATATGCTTCAATTTCATAAGAATAAGAAGTTTTTTGCTTCTTAAACATATGAGCTGCAAGAGAATTTTGATTAATATTTTGATTATTATTTTCATTATCTTCGTGCTTATATTTGGTTACCCATAATTCTTTATATTATTACATATAAAATCAAATTAGTCTTCTTCAAATTTATTATCAATTATAAGTATATATGAATCTTAACAGAATGGATTGGTAAGTTTTGAAGTTTCACTTCACTTTCAAAACTTTTTTTAAAATTTTTTTAAATTAATTTTTTTATTAATACTTTTTTTATCTTTTTATTTTTATTGTCAGGTTGTACTTCCTGGACAAAGTTTTGAAGAATAACTTCAAAACTTTTTAATATAAAAATTGTAAGTTTCGTTGCAAAGCCTACTGTCTTTTTTTTCATTTTCTTTAACAGTTGTTACTTTTAATAATAGAAAAATTTAGCTAATATTTACATCAGGAAATTTGTTTAGGCGTAATTTAGTGTAATATTTCGAAGGTGGTGTAAAATTTCGAAATATTACACTAAATTACGCCTAAACAAATTTCCTGATGTAGTAGACTTAGTATATAGATTGTTATAGTGTATTTTAATAAAATAAATTCAATAATATTTAACATTGTCATATTAACATAATTTATATAAATTTGATATAATGTTTATTGTCTTTAAAATAATGTACATCGTTAATGTACATTAAAATTAAGTAATGCACATTGAATGTTGTGACATCAATTGTACATTAATATGAAGCCTGAAAGAAAATTTGAAATTCTTTGTGAAGCTTTGAACCAGATTAAGTATTTTAACAATTGTCTTTTATTACTTGTTCATTTATATTATTTGGATAGATTTTTGGAAAAAGAGACTGAGTTTAGTATGCAGCACAGTTACTTATTACTTTGTGTGACAGTTAACTGCATATTACAGACCCTCTGCTACTAGGATTTTTTATATTTTTGAAATTCCAGGAGCTAGACAAATTATGAGAACTACGAAAACCAACATAACATTGTTAAGAGAACTTAACATTCAAGAATATCAAGGTTTAGTTCTACGAGCTTCAGAAATTTTCAATAGAGTTAAATATTCAGGAGAGAATGATGTCATGTGATTATTATGTGCCACTCCGAAATTGATCAATATTGCAAATGTTTAACATGATTAACATGTTGAACATAATTAATATGTTGAACATGATTAATATGTCCAACCTAATTAACATGTTGAACATGATCATATTGAACATGCTAGTTATATTATAGTAGATATATTAAATATGTTGAATTTATTAGTATATGTATAATTTATTATAAATATAGGTCAAATTTCTTGTAGTAATGTTAGGGAATAAATAAAGTTTTTATTTAAAGATAAATTGATAATTTTTATCAAGTGAAATCCTTTATTCGTGTTTAGAAGTATATGCCAACGTATAGTGCTATACAACACATCTAATTGGATAATTTTGATATAATATATTATTGAGTATATTATTTGTCTATACACTACATAAACCTTCTGCTACCTAACCACATAAATTGCTTAATAATTTTAAACGTAAAGAACTGATATAACAGTAAATCACATGATACATAAGGCTTTTTCCGATATTAAAAAATGAATAAAATAAATTGGCAGATTTATCACTAAATAATATTTAATACATCTAAGAAATATCTTAGATTAATTTTCACTACTAATTCTCAATGTTATTTACCACCTATTCACTACCTATTTACCACCTATTTAATAGCATTTTACAACTTCGTAAAGATACCATGTCATTATATGTTGGTTAGAAAATTTGAGTGAGTGTAATCATTAATAATTATTGTAATTATAAATTTACTGTAATCATTTATTTTAACATTACGTTAATGTTCAATTTATATTTCAGAACATTTTGGTGTTCAGTTCAGTGAATCAGGTAAAATAAGTAATTTATTATTTTATTAATAATTTCTCATCTAAGTGATTCATTTTATAAATTTATTATTAGTTTTTTTATCTGAATAAATATTTAAATGAAATGCTTTTTTTCTCTAAGACTTATCTTTAATTATTTTGAGGTAGGATTTAGAAAAAATCATATATTTTTTTTCATTGAAACAGAACCTGCAATAGTATTCGCCAGTAACCATCCAGAAAAATATTAGTTCATTTATCATCTTAAAAATTTTTTTTTTATTTCTTTATAAGTTTAATAGTATAAAAAATTTTACATTATTTATTTTTGATTTTATACATTGAAAATGGTTTTATATACTTGTTATTATTTTGATAATTTATATTTAATAATTGAAAGTTATAAATAAAAAAGAATTATTTAAAAAAACATATTCCTTATTTAAATTACAAAGAAATATTTACTACTCTAGTTTTAGCAAATAATTATTAAAAAGAATACAATATTTAATATTTGGATAAAATATAAAAAAAGGAATTATTTAAATTACATACTAAGAATCTTGTAGAATATTTTACTAGTATTCTAACCTTAGTGTTTAAATAAATCCAAAAAGAATAAAATAAAGAACAATCTTTGTTGAATGTATGACATCAAGTATAAAAACTATAAATCTTTTTTTAAAAACATAAACAATTAGTTAATTTTCATATGTTTTAATATATAAATAATTAAACAAATAAAGTTAATTAATTTTCAAGATTAATCTTTTTATATATCATAGCACATACCTAATGATCCCAAATCTTTAATTACACAATCATTCAAATCTGAATGACTTGCATGATATGCTTGTGAATCTTCAAAAATATCATTCAATGTTTTACTAGTAAAATCAAGTAAGCGACTTGTATAACATGCTTTGGGATGAGATTTAGTAGCAAGATTGTTATGTACAATTGGTGCATTTATAAATTCCATAATGTTGCTTTTTATTTCCCCACTGACATCATAAATTTCATAAGAACGGAAAATCCATTTTTCAATAATTTTTAATACTTCTTTAGAAGATGGTCTTTTTAATGGATCCTCATTCCAACATTTTTTCATTAAATCTACATAACATTGTGGAGTATTTTCAATAATTTTAGGACGTTCACCTTTACAAATACTTAAACTAAGTTGAATATCATGTGCTCTATCATTAAATGGTGATACTCCAGATGTAAGTTCCCACATAATCATAGAAAAACTATATATATCACTAGCTGAAGTATAAGATTTGCCTCTTAAAACTTCAGGAGCCATGAATGGTATAACACCATAAATATCATACTTACTCAATAACGATTTTACAGGTTGACATAATCCTAAATCACTAATATAAATTTTATCCTTATTCTCATCATTATGATTTAAAATATTGCCATCATGAAAATCACAATGAATAAGATTCTTTCCATGCATCTCACTAAGTCCAGAAATAATTTCGTACAACATATATAATTTTTGATTCCAATTATTTTCAACTATTCTTGTTAAATTTTCTCTTAAATTACCCTTATTTGCATAATCCATTACTACCATATATTTTGAAGTGTTTGGATCTTTTGTAAATCCATAAAAATATATAATATCATTCGAACTTAAAACACTTGTATGATATTCCCACTATAAAAAATAATAATAATTTATTAATATAAATAAATCTTAATTTAAATTAAAAATAGAAAATAATATACTATCATACTTCTTTTAAAAATTCATTTAAATTTTCATTTAAGTTCTTATGGCATTTAAGAACTACTTCTTTATCTTTATTATTCTTTGACCAAGTAGCTTTATATACAGTACCGAATCCCCCTTCATTAAGATATTCAATGTCTTTAAATTTGTCATAAGGAATCCATTTTAATCCATTTTTAAGAACAAAATCATCTATAGTTGCATTTTCACTTTTTCCAAATCTATAAATTTAAATAGTTAAAATTATATTATTGCTTGTATTATAATTACACTAAAATAAATTATTACTTACTCTAAAATTTAAATAAGAATTTAATGTAATATAAATCTTAGTTTTTGGATAAATAAATATAATAGCCTATAATTTACAACTTACCAACTAAAGTAACAGTTATTTTTTAAATGAAAAAATTCAGTTAACAAATAAAATTATATTAAATATACACTAGAAATATAAATATCTTACAAGCTATATCATAAATAATTTTTAAATAAAGAAAGTTAATTTAAATTATATGCAAAAATTAAATAAATAAGTAATAATAGACTTAAATAAAAAACTTACTTTCTATATTATTTAATAATAATTTTTTATATAAAGAAATTAGTTAGTTTAAATTATATGTAAATATTATATAAATAAATAATAATAGAATTAAATAAATAACTTACTCTCTATATCATTTAATAATTTTTTAAATAAAGAATTTAATTGGTTTAAATTATATGTAAATATCATATAAGTAAGTAATAATAGAATTAAATAAATAACTTACTCCCTACATTATTAATAATTTTTTAAATAAAGAAATTGGTTAGTTTAAATTATATGTAAATATCATATAAATAAGTAATAATAGAGTTAAATAAATAACTTATAACTTACGATCTATTAAATAAGAAATTAGTTAATTTAAATTATATGTAAATATTATAACAATAAGTAATAAATAAATAACTTTGACTTACTAACTAAAATAAATTACAAAACAAATTTTTAAATAAAGAAATTAGTTTGAATTATATATAAATATTATAAAATAATAAAAATAAATAAATAACTGATGACTTACCAGCTAAAATAAATCACAAAATAATTTTTTATATAAAGAAAATAATTAGTTTAAATTATATGTAAATAAGTTATGATAGAATTAAATAAATAACTTATAACTTACGATCTATTAAATAAAGAAATTAATTAGTTTAAATTATGTAAATATTATATAAATAAATAATAATAGAATTAAATAACTTATAACTTACCAACTAAAATAAATTACAAAATAATTTTTTAAATAAAGAAATTAGTTATTTTAAATAATATGTAAATAAATAATAATAGAATTAAATAAATAACTTACACCCTATATTATATTAGTTAGTAGTTTAAATAACATGTAAATATTATATAAATAAATAATAATAGAATTAAATAAATAACTTATAACTTACGATCTATTAAATAAAGAAATTAATTAGTTTAAATTATATGCAAATATTATATAAATAAGTATTAATAGAATTAAATAAATAACTTACAAGTTATAACTTACCAACTAAAATAAATTACAAAATAATTTTTTAAATAAAGAAATTAATTAGTTTAAATTATATGTAATTATTATACAAATAAATAATAATAGAATTACTAAATAAATGCTTACGCCCTAGTATATTATTAAATAATTTTTTAAATAAAGAATTTGGTTAGTTTAAATTATATGTAAATAAGTAATGATAGAATTAAATAAATAACATATAACTTACAAACTTAAAGAAATTGCAAGATAATTTTTTGAATAAAGAATTTAGTTAGTTTAAATTATATGCAAATATTATATAAATAAATAATAATAGAATTAAATAACTCATAACTTACCAACTTAAAGAAATTACAAAATAATTTTAAATAAAGGATTTAGTTATTTTAAATTATGTGTAAATATTATATAAATAAGTAATAATAGAATTAAATAAATAACTTACGCCCTATATTATTAAATAATTTTTTAAATAAAGAATTTAGTTAGTCCAAATTATTTGTAAATATCATATAAATAAGTTAATGATAGAATTAATTAAATAACTTATGATTTACCAACTAAAAGAAATTACAAAATAAATAAAGAATTTAATTAGTTTAAATTATATGTAAATATTATAGAAATAAGTAATAATAGAATTAGTAAATAACTTATAACTTACAAACTAGAAGAAATTACAAAATAATTTTTTAAATAAAGAATTCAGTTAGCTTAAATTATACATAAATATTATATAAATAAGTAATAATAGATTTAAATAAACAACTTATAACTTACCAACTAAAAGAAATTACAAAATAATTTTTAAATAAAGAATATAGTTAGTATAAAATATATGCATAAATAAGTAATAATAGAATTAAATAATAACTTATAACTTACGATCTATTTAAATAAAGGATTTAATTAGTTCAAACTTCAAATTATATATAAATATAAATATTATATAAATAGAATTAAATAATAACTTATAACTTACAAACTAGAAGAATTACAGAATAATTTTTTAAATAAAGAAATTAGTTAGTTTAAATTATATGTAAATATATAAGTAATAATTTGTCCCCAGCTATGCTTCGGATATCTTTAGTTAGGTATATTGTAATGCAAGGTATGTCTGTTCGCACGCATGATTAACCAATAAAATGTATTATTGATTGATATCACGTGATCAGTTTTTGGTGATGACCCTGACGTGTGATTTTAAATGAATGCTTCAGACATTACAACAGATTGTACTGTAGTGTTGTTAAGTACAAGTCAAAACTGAACCAAACCAAACTGGACCAATGGGTCAACTCAGTTTAACTTGAAGATTTTAAGTCACAGTCCAGTACAGTTCGACTTGACTTGTCAAGTTGATAGGGTCAAACCGATGGGTTGATGGGTCAATAGGCAAGTTGATGGAACAAATATTAATGACCCATCAGTTCGACTTGGAGGTCCAAATCAATCAGTTTGATTTGACTTTAACTCCAAATTAGACCGAACTGGACTATTCACAACACTAAATAATAGAATTAAATAATAGCTTATAGCTTACCAACTAAAAGAAATTTCAAAATAATTTTTAAATAGAGAATTTTGTTAGTTTAAATTATATGTAAATATTATATAAATGAGTAATAATAGAATTAAATAAATAACTTACACCCTATATTATTAAATAATTTTTTAAATAAAGGATTTAATTAGTTTAAATTATATATAAATATTATATAGATAAGTAAGAATAGAGTTAGATAAATACTTACGTCCTAGTATATTATTAAATAAAGAATTTAATTAGTTTAAATTATACGTAAATATTATATAAATAAGTAATAATAGAATTAAATAAATAACATATAACTTACCAACTAAAAGAAATTACAATATAATTATTAAATAAAGAATTTAGTTTAAATTATATGTAAATATTATATAAGTAAAGTAATAATAGAATTAAATAAATAACTTACGCCCTTTATTATTAAATAATTTTTTAAATAATTAGTTAGTTTAAATTATATGTAATTATTATATAAATAAGTAATAATAGAATTAAATAAATAACTTACACCCTATATTATTAAATAATTTTTTAAATAAAAAATTTAATTAGTAGTTTAAATTATATGTAAATATTATATAAATAAGAGTTAGCTAAATCACTTACGTCCTATATTATTAAATAAATTTTTAATTAGTTTAAATTATATGTAAATATTATATAAATAAGTAATAATAGAATTAAATCAATAACTTATAACCTACCAACTAAAAGAAATTACAAAATAATTTTTTAAATAAAGAATTTAGTTAGTTTAAATATTATAACAATAAGTAATAATAGAATTAAATAAATAACTTACTCCCTATATTATTAAATAATTTTTAAATAAAGAATTTAATTAGTTTAAATTATATGTAAATATTATAAATAAGTAATAATTAAATAAATAACTTACTCCCTATATTATTAAATAATTTTTTAAATAAAGATTTAGTTAGTTTAAATTATATATAAATATTGTATAAATAAGTAATAATAAAATTAAATAAATAACTTATAACTTACGATCTATTTAAATAAAGAATTTAGTTAGTTTAAATTATATGTAAATATTATACAAATAAGTAATAATAGAATTAAATAAATAACTTACGCCCTACATTATTAAATAATTTTTAAATAAAGAATTTAGTTAGTCTAAATTATATGTAAATATCACATAAATAATAATAATAGAATTAAATAAATAACTTATAGCTTACCAACTAAAAGGATTGCAAAATAATTTTTTAAATAAAGAATTTAGTTAGTTTAAATTTTATGTAAATATTATATAAATAAGTAATAAGAGAATTAAATAAATAATAACTCACCAACTTAAATCAATTACAAAATAATTATTTAAATAAAGAGTTTAGTTAGTTTAAATATATTGAATAAATAAGTAATAATGGAATTAAATAATAACTTATAACTTACCAACTAAAAGAAATTACAAAATAATTTTTTAAATAAAGAATTTAGTTAGTTTAAATTGTATGTAAATATTTTATAAATAAATAATAATAGAATTAAATAAATAATTTATAACTTACGATCTATTTAAATAAAGAATTCAGTTAGTTTAAATTATATATAAGTATTATATAAATAAGTAATAATAGAATTAAAATAAGTAATTTATGACTTACGATCTATTTAAATAAAGAATTTAGTCAGTTTAAATTATATATAAATATGTTTTTTACTTCAAATCACCGGGGGTGATCATCACCGTTGGCCAGAATTATCAATTTTTACCGGCACTATATTTTTTAATGCTGGTCGATCATCATAATTTCAGTCACCAGTGATCATCACCCCCGGTGATAGTTAGAAAAATT